ATTTTGGACCCCCCCCTCGTCACAAAGTCATGGACCCCCCTCAAATATGACGTCACAAAGCTCTTGCCCCCCAACCCCCCCCCAAAAAAACTACCTTCAAATCGCTTTAAACTATTGTCATTGTAGTGGTATTTAATTGTGGCGCTGCACTCTGATGTTGTAGGAGAGAACATTTATTAATAAGTTTAACCCGTAAAAACAAAGCTTTTCACTATAAATCCTTTATATGCGTGGCGGCTAGAGTCCCTCGTCCTCTGGCTTGAGATGGCTGCCAACCTATGGGTCAGATGATTGTCTGCCAGTATTAAGCAATTGGTAATTAAATATTTAATTTGTTTTTTCCTAAACAGTGTAAAATTTTGAAAAAAATATTTCACGAACATTAATTGTCTCGCACAACGAGTCTGTGTGCAAAATGTCAGCTCGATTGGATCACGGGAAGTGGGTTAAAACAAGAGCGAAAAATTTGCACGGTCTGTAAGCAAGCAAGCAAGCGCGCAAGCGAACTTAATATAAGCATAACCAGTAAAAACAAAGTTTTTCACTATAATTCCTTTATATGCGTGGCGGCTAGAGTCCTCTCGTCCTCTGGCTTGAGATGGCTGCCACCTATGGGTCAGATGATTGTCTGCCACCATTAAGCAATTGATAATTACATATTTAATTTGTTTTCCCCTAAACAGTGCAAAATTTGATTTTTTTTTCACGGAAAATTAATTTCACATACAACGAGTCAGTGTGGAAAATGTCAGCTCGATTGGATAACCGGGGAGTGGGTTAAAAAACGAGCTAAAGATTTGCACGGTCCTAAGCAAGCAAGCGAACTTAATATAAAGGATTTAAAAATATATTCGCCTGTGGAGGACGCGGGGATCGATCCCGCGACCTTTGGCATGGGAAGCGAGGGCGCTACCAACTGCGCTACTCCGCCACGGCCTGTGGAGGGGTTACGCTCTGGGCTCTTACACTCTGACGTTCAGCCAAAGCCATGAATGCGTTCAATTTGAATATATGTAAAATACATTTTTTTGCCTAAAAAGTGTAAAATTTTGGGAATTTTTTTCCACGAACAATAATTGTCTGGCACAACGAGTCTGTGTGGAAAATGTCAGCTCGATTGGATCACGGGAAGTGGGTTAAAAAACGACCGAAAAATTTGCACGGTCCTAAGCAAGCAAGCAAGCACGCGAACTTAATATAAAGGATTTAAAAAGGAGGCTTTGGAAAGGGCCTGTCCATAAATGACGTCACGCACCTATGGGGGGGGGTCAGACATTTGTGACGATGTGTGACGAGGGAGGGGTGGGGGTTGAGAAATGTGACATGACATCAAAATGCGCAACTTTAAATAATATAGACAACACGTTATACTTATGATAATTGTTTTTTAACCCTTCTGTAATGCGGGCGTGGACGACCTTCCGGAGGTGACGTCATGGGGGGAGGAGTTACGTCACGTGGGGAGAGAGTGCAGGTCTATAAGGGGAGAAACCGGAAGCAGTAGGGAGTGATCGGAGACTGGGAAAGTGTGAGGCCACGCAGGGCGGAGTGGGGAAGAGAGAGAGTGGCGAGATCGCCACACACACACACCCCGAGGATCGGCACCGTCAGCCAACGGTGACCGACCCCGGGGCTGGAGGAGCAGCGAGGAGACTGCAGAGAGAGCAGCGGGTCTGCAAGGGTGGAGTTCGGCAGCGGGGGTCTGCGCGACGAGACAGCAGCGGGTCTGCAAGGAGGGAAGTGGGCTATGTGAGCGACAGCAGCCTGGGGCTGCAGAGCGAAGAGTATATAGGGGAGTGCTGTGAAGTGGGCTACGTGAGCGATAGCTGCCTGGGGCTGCAGAGCGAAGAGTAAAGGGGAGTGCCGTGAGGGAAAAGAGATCGAACCCAAATAAAGGACACAGGACAGAGAGAAGCGTCCGAGTCTTTTATTACACTTCTATCTGGCAACAAAACTGACCTTTTTACAAGGAGTCATGTTTGCATAGACCACAATACCTGCAGTCATAATGAAAACAAAAATATAACTCTGATAATGTGCACTGTCCTTGAAGTTGATTGGTCCACACCCGAGACAGCTTTCCTTGGTTTTTTAACCTTCTATCTGGCAACAAGAAGGGTAAAACCAATTATCATATTTTACTGGCAAATGAGGTTCCAATGGTGTAAATGCTTACCCCGAGCTCTCATACTCTGATGGTGCATTGTCTTTGAGTTGTGCACCTTTTGGCGTCATCTGGTCCAACCCATGTGAGACTAGGCTCAAAGGAAAGCTGTGACGCGGGTGGGAAGGTCAAAAATCGTCCAAAATCGCGTGACGTCATTTATGGACGGCCCCCATAACCAGTGGCGATTTTTTTTAACCAGTCCTGAGCCGCCCCTACATCGACTCAGCCTCAAATGCGTACCCGGTGCGTGTGCGAACATCGCCACCTGCTAACAGCACTTGCCCCAATAGTCTGTGAAGGCTATACGGGGGGGGGGTCTTTGTATGTACACACACGTGGCCGATTACACAGATTAAAGGTCTCGACACACGTTGCAGTGAAAGTTCACAAATTCACGTGTCTGGTTTATTGTTTGGTTACAATTATTCAAAACTCGTAAATTACACGGCGTTTCAGAAGGGTGGACAGCATCTGCTTTGAAATTGGGTGTTATGTCATTTCTGTAAGATTCCAATCATTTTCGATTTAAAGCTTTCGTGACTGCAGGGATTCATCTTCTTGGTTCTTTCGGTAAAGTCACATAGAAGGGAAATAATAAAATAATAAAAATTAAACACTATAAAATAAAATTCTCACGTTTCGGCCACAACGCAAGCAGCCGTCCCCTCAGGTGACAGACCTGCTTGCGTTGTGGCCGAAACGTCGTGAGAATTATTTTATTTTTATTATTTCCCTTCTACGTGACTTTACCGAAAGGACCAAGAAGATGATCGCAATCATTTTTAAATCCTTTATATTAAGTTCACTTGCTTGCTTGCGCGCTTACGGCCGTGCAAATCTTTCGGTCGTTTTTTAACCCACTTCCCGTGATCCAATCGAGCTGACATTTTGCATATAATCTTAATTTTGGAGCTTTCGTGACTGCAGGAATTATTCTTTGGTTCTTTCGGTTAAGTCACGTCTAAAGATAAAACAATAAATTAAAATAGACGTGACTTAACCGAAAGAACCAAAGAATATTTTGCACAGACTCGTTGTGCGTGACAATTTATTTTCGTGAAATTTTTTTCCCAAAATTTTCCACTTTTTAGGAAAAAAAAATGTCACTAACACAATCATATATTTTTCCTAAACATAGAAAATTTTTCAAAAAAAAGAACAAAAATGTACAATATAAACAATCATACAAAAACTGAAAACCTTATAATGCTTATATACGACTTTCCTTATATTTAATTTGAAATACCAATGTGATAAAAATGAAACTCTTACTCAAGAAAAACAGAAATGAATAATAAAATGAAACCGATGCCACGCATATAAAGGATTTATAGTGAAAAACTTTGTTTTTACAGGTTAATTTTTTACACGTTTCTATTTAACTCACTTCGTCTGTTGTATCCTCAAAAACAAAATCTTGTAACTCAAATTTTACACACTTCCCAATGTGCTATGAACTGCAAACTTGGTATAGCGAGCTGAGTCAAACTGATGACAACACGATATTATATCATTAAAAAAATCCAAAACATATATTTTTTACATTTTACACGCTTTTATTTAACTTACTGTATGTGTTGTATCCAAAAATCTTTTAACTCAATTTCAACCGTATTCCCAATGTATCGAATGCAAACGTCGTATAGGTATGTCATACTGATGACAATACTATATTCTATCATTAAAAAACAAATATTTTTAAACAATCTTTTTAACGGCTCGAATTGTCCCCGCTCAACTGACGTTGCCTGTAAATCACCACGGTCCCTTACGTCACGGCAAGCCTCGGGGAGATACGCCCAGGGGCGGGGCATGTGGAAGGAGGGGAGTTGCGATGGGGGAAGGGGGCAGCTCGGACAGTACATTTCATTAAACAGAGCCAGATGAAGGCTCCAATAGGGTTCAGTGTGAATCACTGAGGCTCCTGGTGAGATATCTACCCTACTAACAGACCCTGCAGGTTGAACCTAATATTTGACAAAGGTGCATCTATTGGGAGCGACATCGTCAAGCTTACACATCTACCGGGTCTCCATTTGACTTTGTATTGTCTAGGAAGTCCACCCACACCTCCACTTCCACAAACTGCTGTGAGTTGCCTCCCTCTACATCACAGTCAGAATTCCCCTCCTGCTTCACGTTGCCTCCATCGATGTGAAGGTCCCATTTTGGAGTCAAATCTTCATCTTCACATTTTACCTTCACTTCTTCGCTCTTCACCGTCACCTCTCTCCACATTTCACAATCACTTCTTCAAATTCTGCCTTGATACCTTTAAAAGTGCCCAAGCTGGGATTTTCTTCCGGTACTTGTTTCATGAGGGATGGGCTCCTTACGGCACTTTGACTTTCACAAGCTGATTTCAGACTCCACTCCTTGTGGATTTTCTGATGCGTCTGTGTTCTCTGGTGTTCTTTAAGACCTTGTGACCGTGCAAACGCCTTCCCGCACAGAGTGCACTTGAAGGGTTTCTCTCCTGTGTGTGTTATCTGGTGTATTCGACAATTTGATGGACGTGCAAACGCCATTCCACACACACTGCACTTGAAGGGTTTCACTCCTGTGTGTGTTCTCTGGTGTTTTGTAAGATAAGATGACTGTGAAAATGCCTTCCCACACACACTGCACTTGAAGGGTTTCTCTCCTGTGTGTGTTCTCTGGTGTTGTGCAAGATGTTGCGTAAGATTTTGTGACTGTGAAAATGCCTTCCCACACACTGCACTTGAAGGGTTTCTCTCCTGTGTGTGTTCTCTGGTGTTTTGTAAGATCAGATGAATGTGAAAATGCCTTCCCACACACTGCACTTCAAGGGTTTCTCTCCCGTGTGTTTTTTGGTGCTGTGTCAAACTTCCAGTCCGAACCGTGATGTATGCACGCTGGTCCCATTGTTGCCTTGCCGTACCGAGCCGCGCTGACTGCCTGTGTTCCATCAGACCAATTCTGCAGAGGAAGCGTCAGAGCAAGCGACAGCTGCAGACAGAAAATGGGAAAATGTCAAAACTGGGTGGTTTTTAACTTTTGCCGACAAAACTGGATCCCAAATGTCAAAACTGGGTGCACCCTGGGTGGCCAAAAACTTGAGTTTTGGACACTCAGGGTGCACCCAGTTTTGACATTTGTCAAATACACTTGATAATTGTATACTAGCACAGTGTGCCAGCACCCCATTCATCCAAACACTTGGTATTTGTATACTGGCACACTGTGCCAGCACCCCATTCATCTAAACACTTGGTATTAGTATGCTGGCAGTGTGCCAGCACCATATAACTACACACACTTGATATTTGTACGCTGGCACAGTGTGCCAGCACCCCAACACCAACATTTCAAGCTACGGCTCGGACTCGGAAGTGAGTCGGGGCGGGCTTGCGACCAGGCGGGCGCACTGCCACCTTGCGTGATGACCTAGACTAGTGACTCGCGTCAATACCAAACTTTTGGATTGTTGGTTGATGCTACGCGCTACTGTACACCCTTAAATTTGCCATGCATTCGACCATAGCCCGCCAAACGACCAAGCACAGAGACAAAGGCGACGTCCTTGGGAGATGGACCAGCCTGCTTGACGCTCCTGACCATGGTCCCAATGGTGCGGAACAACCAACGAATGCGCATCTCGTTGATTGGTCAATCCTTTGGCCCACCGTTACGGTGATTGGCGGAAATATTGTGTGAAAAATCAAATTGCTGGCAATGAAAATAGACATTGTCTCGTGAAAAATTGAAAGTAGACGTAGAAACGTGATTTTTCACAAGCATTTTTCACGAAACAGGTGGAGGAACGGCTCACATTCGAATGGCAACCCTCCACCCCAAGAAGACTTTTACCACGCGCCGCGAGGCCATCCACGGCATCCAAGACTTTGCTTTGCAACAAGGCAAGCGCGCGGTCCTTGACCTCAAGCGAAGCGGCGGACGGCACGTTGCCATCGTCTGCTCTAGTTCAACACCTTGTTCCTTCAAGGTGAAGCTGACGAAGCTCACGGGGGAACGACGCGGCTTCCGCGTCTCGGCTGTGCACGGATCACCACGGCTGCACGGGCACTACCAAGATCACGCAGCGCCAAGTGGAGGCGAACACGACAGCCCGTTCGGCCTTTCGCGCCAACCCCCGTACCTCCGCACCGACTGTCATTGCCCAGGTCGCCGACGTTGCTCGCGTCATTGTCCCGACCCGGATGATGTACCGCGCCAAGGACACGTGCATCGCGGCGAACGAGATGTGCGGCCCATGCAGGCTTCGAGTTCATTCAACTCGCTGGTGGAGACGTTCGGCAAGCTCAAAGCGACGACCTGCAGTGTGCGAGAAGACGCGGGGCATCTTCTGGGTGTGCGTTCATCTGCAACCCGATCGCACGCTCGTTGCAGCCAAGTCTTCAACGCGTCGTCGGCATCGACGGGTCGCACATGAAGGCGCGCGCCTACAACGGAACCATGCTCGTCCTCGTTGGGCGCGACGGCAACAACCGCAACGTCCTTCTCGCCGTGGCGCTGGTGCCGTCCGAGACGGCAGCGGCCTACGACTGGTTTCTCAACTGCTGCACGACCAACGACATCGAGCTCGACGGCACGCGGTCTTCTGCGATAGTGGCACGGCGCATCCTAGCCTCCGACTGGAAGGACCTCATGCTCATCCACTGCACGCGGCATTTGATCTGCAACGGCGTGGGACAACATCGGCTCCGCGTTTCACGCCTGACCTCCAAGCATCATCTACAATTCCCCAGGGTGCGCCTCCGAGGCCGCGTTCGCAGCTCTTGGGCTGCTTGGGCGTAGCTCTGCCTGCGGCGGCCACGTACTACAACAAGATAGACCCCCACACGTGGGCGCTCTACCCGCACCTGCACACGACGCATTGTACGGCTGGCGCACGACGACTTTGTGGAGTCCAAGAACAGCGAGGCCCTGCCGGCTCGCGAGATTGGACCCCTTCCACTTCCTCATGCACCACATGGAAGACATGATGACGACGGCCTTTGCCCACCGCAGCGACGCCGAGAAGTGGGCCGCTCAAGGGCGTGTCATTACGCCGTACGCTCAAGGACTCATCGACGCTCAGCAGGCGTTGGCCCCGAGGTACAAGATCTACGAGAGTACCTCGACGCGTGCATACGTCAAGATCCAGACGCCTACGCCTCTGCCAAGCGCCGAGTCGATCTCAGCTCTCGGTCGTGCACGTGCGGGTACATGAAGCAGATGGGCTTGCCGTGTCGGCACTACATTCGTGCCCTCATGGCGTTTGGGCGGATGCCCGAGCTCTACGACGCATGTGCGGTGTGTTACCAAGTCTCTGCCATCAACACGACATGGACCTCGGTTGCCGGTATCGAGCTGCCCATTGCCGAGGAGCTGCAACGCGACAACACCATGATGCCACCTCCTCGCCAGAAGAAGGCTGGCCGCCTGAAGAAGCGTCGGATTCGCAACCGTGGCGAAGGTGGCCCATTGGGCCTCACGCGGTGCTCCTTCTGTCGCGCCAAGGGCCACAACAAGTGCTCTTGCCCGTCGAAGTAGTTTATATATGTAACAAACATGTTTTGTTCTAAGTGTGCAGCACCATACTTCTCGACGCAAACACTATCTACCGTTGTTCTACTGTAGTAGGTGTAGCATGCAAGCTGGCACACTGTACCAGTATACAAATGGCAAGTTCGTGTATGTTCGCGAGCTGAAAGTGTTACTGTAGTTGCAAGCTGGCACACTGTGCCAGTATACATATGGCAAGTAAGTGTTACTGTAGTAGCGAGCTGGCACACTGTGCCAGTATACAAACGGCAAGTAAGCGAGCTGGCACACTGTGCCAGTATGCAAACGGGAAGTTTGTGGTGCAAGGTATGGAACATGAGCCACGAGAAACATCATTTGGAATGCTCTAAATCTGTGGCGACATATGGATGAATAACGCAAGGACCTAAACGTGTACAAAATGATACATTAAATCGTACACCTTCACCCAGTTTTGACATTTGTCCACATTGAACATCACCCAGTTTTGTCATATCAAAAAGCACCACCCTGTTTTGCCTGTCGTTTTCCAAGACCACCCAGTTTTGACATTTGGGATCCAGTTTTGTCGGCAAAAGTTAAAAACCACCCAGTTTTGACATTTTCCCGACAGAAAATACCATCTACACGTCAGTATTGAGGCACAGAGGAATGAATATACGCATATATATGTACACAATCTTAATTTGAAGCTTTCATGACTGCAAGAATCCATACTCTATGTGGTTCTTTCGGTAAAGTCACGTAGGTAAAAATAACATAAATGACGTTTCGAACACAACACAAGCATTCGTCTTGGGGTGAAAATCGCGATAGCTGAGATGTTCTTGCGTGATTTATTTTAATACACGCTTTCATTTAACTCACTCTGTCTGTTGTTGTTGTCATTGTTGTCGTTGTTGTATCCTCAAATCTTGTAACTCCATTTTAACCCACTTCCCAATGTGGTATCGACTGCAAACTTGGTATACTTATGCCATACTGATGCCAATACTATATTATATCATTAAATAAAAACATTTTAAACAATCTTTTGTACATGTTATGTTTTGGCTTGGGTCTAATTGTCCACGGTAAACTGGCATTGGCTGTAACTGACCACGGTCGCTTGTGTTACGACAAGCCTCGGGGCCACTTCCTGGAGTCGTGGAGTTTTTCCATTACTAGTACATTTTATAAAAGCGTGTTTTAAATTTTTTTTTAAATATTACTTCTTTTATTTCTACCTACGTGACTTTACCGAAAGAACCAAAGAGTAATATAAACACAGTCACACATGAATAACACGTCTATACGCATTCATATATTCATGACAGAGTTAAAAAGTTTCCCAAATTCATCACACGGGCTGTTATGGCGCACTATGAGAGGGCAAATGGTCATAAACATTCCTGGAAGCCGTCGTATCTTCAAAATGAATGTTAACCCAAAACTCCAAGCACACAATTTCGGCTGTCTGGCTGCAAAATGAATATTCATGAGAGCTAAATTCAGCTGACATAGCAAAGGGTGTTGAAAATAATACTACTTGTGTTATGCATGAATTCATGTTAAATCGCAACTTAGAGGTGTGAAGCCAGGCTCAGATTTCCTTGAATGCTGGGATGAACAGATCTAACGTCAGCTGCATGTGTGCTGTGTCAACTTCCTGACTGCTTCCATTCTCATAGAGTTCCAGATAAAAACAAAAACATAAACCATTGTTTTCATATAACCTCCGTTTTCAATATAATTAATAGACTTTACTGCAAACACAAACTTGACACTGCCGTGTTAAACAGGTGGTGGCGTGTCCAGAACCATGCCTGGCCCCACACCTTCATCTGCTCAGTATTAATATTTCAGTTTCATTTATTTATTTCAGTTTCATTTATTAGATACTAGCTTTACTACCTGGCTTCGCCCGAGACTTGGACTCTTGTCTTGAATGAATCCACGGCCTACGCGGAGGATGGGGGGTGGGGGATGCGTAACGTCAGGATCCACACTACGTGACGCTGCCGCATGCGGGTGACATAACAGACGTGAGGTCACCGCTCACTTGCCGTGCAAAATATATCCATTATTGCGCCCCCCCAGAAAAATGCAAAAGTCCATTTTTATACTTTTTGCATTGTGTACAGTCTGGAAGGTACCCACATGCCAAATTTTAAGTTTGTTGCGTGTCGGAAAGTATGCTAAACATTTCGAACAGATACACATTCACAAATTTCCCTTTTATATAAAGATAACCCCGTGAGCCATGCGGCTCTTGACTCGGGGGCAAACGCAACAAACAAAAACGTGAACAAGAAAAATCTTAAAGTGACTACACGCAACAGAAAAATCCAGGATAAAAAACTGCAGAAAAACACCGCATTTCAACGCTGTATGCAGAAAATCCCAGTGGGATGCAAGTCAACAAAACAGCCATAGGACAATTTAGATTAAAGTTATCAGGCTAACAGTGTACTACAAAAAACAAACATGGCTAAACCAAGTTTTCAATGCTTCCTCACTCCACCAAATAATTCAGGATCAAATCAACATGGCTGAGTTTGCGTGTCTCCCTCTCTCTGTGGTGGCGTGGATTTTCCTCCAGATCGCCCTCCACATTTAAGAGTGAATATGAGCACGCGTTTAGAGCCTTTGACCGATATTCATTTCCACACGTTGACAAAGCCCACCTTTGTTGTGTGGGCAGGTCGCTTCTAAAAACAAGAACGGACGCTTGTGTTGCGCCCGAAACGTCGTGATTTATTTTATTTTCTACCTACGTGACTCTACCGAAAGAACCAAAGAGTATGGATTCCTGCACTCACGAAAGCTTCAAATCATAAGAGCGGTACAGCAGCTCAAGTAGGCTTGGCCTGGTTACATAAAATAAAAACTTAAAGTGTCCTCGTGTTGTAGTATTTCCTGCAGTCACGAAAGCTCCAAATCTCTCATTGCCATGCTCATTTTTTACCCCCCCCCCCCCTCTGCCTCAGCCCCCTTCTCTCTCTATTTAAGGCCTTAACACAGGTGTTGTTTCTGTGTGTGCCTATGTGTGTCTCTGTGTCTGTGTTATTTCTCTCCGTGTGCCTGTGTCTGTGTCTCTCTGTGTCTGTGTTATCTCTCTCTGTGTGCCTATGTGTGTGTCTCTGTGTGCCTATGTGTATGTCTCTCTCTGTGTGCCTCTGTGTATCTCTCTCTCCGTGTGCCTATGTGTGTGTCTATGTGTGTCTCTCTCTGTCTCTTTGTTATCTCTGTGTGCCTATGTGTGTCTCTCTCTCTCTCATTGTGTCTCTCTCTGTGTGCCTATGTGTGTGTCTGTCTTCGTGTTATCTCTCTCTGTGTACCTATCTGTGTGTGTGTCTCTCTGTGCGTCTTTGTGGTGTCTCTCTCTGTGTGTGTCTCTCTCTCTGTGTGCCTATGTGTCTCGCTGTGTGCCTATGTGTGTGTCTCTGTCTGTGTTATCTCTCTGTGTGCCTGTATGTGCTTTCTCTCTGTGTGCATGTGTGTGTGTCTCTCTCTCTCTGTGTGTTATCTCTCTGCTTATGTGTCTCTCTCTGTGTGTCTGTGTTATCTCTCTCTGCTTGTGTATGTGTCTGTGTGTCTCCGTGTCTGTGTTGAGTTCTCTCTCTCAAATTTAGCAATCTTTGGAAGAACGTTAATAAACCAGGTGGGGAGTTGACTTATCTTATCCGACTCTCTGTGTTGTATTGCATTGTAGTTCTAAGTTTATTTAATTTTATACCTACGTAACTTTACCGAAAGAACCAAAGAGTATAGTTCAAGTTTACAAGCTTTGCTTTCTCATTCATTTGTACCCGATGGTGATTGCTCGTGTTGCAAAGGAAACGTCGTATGCTATTACTTAATTAATGTTTTCTTTCTACGTGACTTTACCGAAAGAACCAAATAGTATGGATCCCTGCACTCACGAAGCTCCAGACCAAGTTTAAACGAGATAATTCTTTGTTTTTTTCGGTAAAGTCACGTAGGTAGAACTAAAATATGAAAAAACAACTCAATTAAATTGGTTGTTTCTTCATTTATTGTATTTCTCCTGCCCTCACGAAAGCTTCCAGATCAAGTTGAAGCGAGAGAATTCAAGCAAAGGCCTTCAGGCGAGGGCAGGAGGCGAGGCCCCGCGTTGCTAGGCCCCACGTTGCATGGATTCCCATACTCGCTGCGACTCAATTGATATCCCTACGAGAGCGAGGCTCTACCTTGGTAAACACAACCACAACAACCACAACAACCACCACAACCACCACCACCACCACCACGATGAAAATCTCTCACCTCGGATTTCATCGGCAGCTTCTCGTTACCTCGCTACGTTTGGCGGCAGCAGGAGGTGACGTAATATTCACTTCCGGGGTACAAGACACGGCCCCAACGAGCGGGGGCTGGGTAACTGAATAAACTTTATTCGAGAATTGAAGCTTTCGGCAACTGCAGGAATGACTCAACTCGTTGTCACACTCATTGGCTCTTTCGGTAAAGTCAACGCGTCGAGGGATGATGGGGCGTGGGTGCGAACCCGTCGCATAAAAAACAAACTCGCGACGGCTTTTAACGAATATATTATGTTTAATTTATTTAATTTCTTTACCGAAATAACCAATGAGCAATTCCTGCAGTCACCAAAGCTTAGATCCTAGATTATGTTAATGAGCCGCCAGTCACTGGGGCGTAGCTTTGCCCAAATAAGGATTGTACGGGTCAGACATCGACGGTGACCAAGCAGGGTGACATGACGTCACAGCGAGGCGCACCGCCCCCCTTGGTGTTTCACACCGATGAGGTAATGCTTAGTGGTGACGTCAGAGAACGGGGGTCAGAGTTCCAGTTTTGCGTATTGGGGACGTTCATAATGACGTCACGTTATTTGGCCCGAATTTTGACCCCCCTCACCCCATCGTCACACAGCGTCACATAAAGTCAGACCCCCCTCAAATATGACGTCACACAAGCTCTGCCCCCCAACCCCCCCCCCAAAAAAACTACCTTCAATCGCTTTAAACTATTGTCATTGTAGTGCGTATTTAATGTGGCGCTGCACTCTGATGTTGTTAGGAGAGAACATTATTAAAAAGGAGGCTTTGGAAAGAGCCTGTCCATAAATGACGTCACGCACCTATTGGGGGGGGGGGGGGGTCAGACATTTGTGACGATGTGTGACGAGGGGGGGTGGGGGTTGAGAAATGTGACATGACATCAAAATGCGCAACTTTAAATAAATATAGACAACACGTTTTACTTATAATTGTTTTTTTACCCTTCTATCTGGCAACAAAACTGACACCTTTTACAAGGAGTCATGTTTGCTAGACCGTCAATACCTGCAGTCATAATACAAACAAAAGAACATAACTCTGATAATGTGCAACTGTCCCTTGAAGTTGATTGGTCCCACCCGAGACAGCTTTCCTTGGTTTTTTAACCTTCTATCTGGCAACAAGAAGGGTAAAAACAATTATCATATTTTTACTGGCAAATGAGGTTCCAATGGTGTAAATGCTTACCCCGAGCTCTCATACTCTGATGGTGCATTGTCTTTGAGTTGTGCGGCCTTTTGGCGTCATCTGGTCCAACCCATGTGAGACGAGGCTCAAAGGAAAGATGTCTCGGTGTGGACCAATCAACTTCAAGGACAGTGCATACATTATCAGAGTTATGTTTTTTGTTTGCTTATGACTGCAGGTATTGTGGTCTATGCAAACATGACTCCGTTGTAAAAAGGTGTCAGTTTTGTTGCCAGATAGAAGGGTGTAAAAAAACAATTATCGTATTTTTACTGGCAAATGAGGGTTCCAATGACGTTTCTACTTAATTAAAGGACTTTTCAATAAAAGTTTTCTCCCTACAAACATCAGAGTGCAGCGTCACATTAAATACGCACTACAATGACGATAGTTTAAAACGATTTGAAGCATGTTTTATATTATTGGGGAAGGGGGGGGGGGCAGAGTTGTGTGACGTAATATTTTGAGGAGTGTTTGACTTTCAGTGACGCCGTTGACGAGGGTGGGGGGGTCAAAATCGTCCAAAATCGCGTTGTCATTTATGGACGGCCCCCATGACCAGTGGATTTTTTTTTTGCGGTCCTGAACCGCCCCTACATCGACTCAGCCTCAAATGCGTACCCGGTGCAGTGTGCGAACATCGCCACCCGCTAACAGCACTGCCCCATAGTCTGTGAAGGCTATACCGGGGGGATCTTTGTAAGTACACACCACGTGACCGATTACCAGGTTAAAGGTCTCTACACATAGTTGCGGTGAAAAGTTCACAAATTCACGTGTCTGGTTTATTGTGTTTGGTTACAATTATTCAAAACTCGTAAATTACAGGGCGTTTCAGAAGGGTGGACCGCATCTGCTTTGAAATTGGGTGTTATGTCATTTCTGTACGATTCCAATAATTTTCGATTTAAAGCTTTCGTGACTGCAGGGATTCATCTTCTTGGTTCTTTCGGTGAAGTCACGTAGAAGGGAAATAATAAAAAATAAAACATAAAAAAAATTCTCACGTTTCGGCCACAATGCAAGCAGCCATCCTCAGGTGACAGACCTGCTTGCGTTGTGGCCGAAACGTCGTAATAATTATTATTTTTTTTTATTATTTCCCTTCTACGTGACTTTACCGAAAGAACCAAGAAGATGATCCCAATCATTTTTACACGCTTCTATTTAACTCACTTTGTCTGTTGTATCCTCAAAGACGAAATCTTGTAACTCAAATTTTACACTTTCCAATGTGCTATCGACTGCAATCTTGGTATAGCGATGTCATACTGATGACAACACGATGTTATATCATAACAAAATCCTAAACATATATATTTCAACATTTTACACGCTTTTATTTAACTTATTGTATGTGTTGTATCTATAAATTTTGTAAATCAATTTCAACCGTATTCCCAATATCGTATCGAATGCAAACTTCGTATAGGTGTGTCATACTGATGACAATACTATATTCTATCATTAAAAATAAAAAAATAATTTAAACAATCTTTTTTACGTCTAATTGTCCACGCTCAACTGACGTTGCCTGTAAATCACCACGGTCCCTTACGTCACAGCAAGCATCGAGGAGCCACGCCCAGGGGCGGGGCATGTGGAAGGAGGGAGGGGCGATGAGGGAAGGTGGCTGGAGGAGAGGCAGCTTCGATAGTACATGTCATTAAAGCGTGTTTTTAAAAAAAGTATTTTAAAATATTTTATATTAACTCAGTGTCTGTTGTTGTATCATCAAATATTGTAACTCAATTTTAACCCACTTCCCAATGTGGTATCGACTGCAGACTTGGTATACTTATGTCATACTGATGACAATACTATATTCTATCATACAATATAAAAAAACATTTAAACATTATTTTTCATATGTTATGTTTCGGCTTGGGTCTAATTGTCCACGGTCAACTGACTTTGGCTGTAATTCGCCATGGTTCCTTACGCTATGGCAAGAATCAGGGCCATTTCCTGGAGACGTGGAGTTCTGCCAATACAAATAAAACATGCTTCAAATTGCTTTAAACTATTGTCATTGTAGTGCGTATTTAATGTGGCGCTGCACTGATGTTGTAGGAGAAAACTTTTATTAAAAAGTCGATTTAATTCAGTAGAACGTGTTGTCTATATTTATTTAAAGTTGCGCATGTTGATGTGACGTCATATTTCTCAACCCCCACACCCCCTCGTCACACATCGTCACAAATGTCTGACCCCCCCAGGTGCATGACGTCATTTATGGACGGCCCCTTTCCAACGATTTCATAAAAGCGTGTTTTAAAAAAAAAATTCTTAATTACTTATTTATAGTCAAAATCGCCAAATTTGCGGAGCTTCGCTGCAAGTACAGGGAGAGACGAGAGGTGAGGCAGCGACGCACTCAGCCTCCTCTCCGATTGCGCAACCCCTCAGACACTGGATGGAACGCGGCGAGTAAGGGCGTGCGTGTTACTATCTCAGCATGTCACCAATGGAATGTTTGTAGACCCGTTCATTCCATGTCCTCGCCTTCCATAGTCCGGGTAACTTAGTTCAAGTACAGTAGAACCTCTGGTCACGACCCTAATTCGTTCCATAACTTTGGTCTCAACCCGATTTGGTCGTGACTCGAACATAATTTCCCCATTGGATTGTATGTAAATACGATTAATCCGTTCCAGACTCCTACTAACTGTATATACATATTTTTTTAAAAGATTTTTAAGTACAAAAATAATTAACTATGCCATAGAATTCAGTGTAATAATAAACTAAATGTAAAAACATTGCATAACACTGAGAAATCCTTGAACAGAGAAAACTAACATTGCCGCGACAAGGCTTAAAATCGTTCAACAAGATTACTGTTTCGTCTGCTACATCAGTCGGTCGATTCTGAGAGAGAGAATATTCGTATGAGCAATTCATGTTTCTATTGAAAGTAATTTAACAGTAATATTTGGGTACAGTAATGTTTTTGGAAGCATTCACCGTAATATCGTATGAACGTTTACTTCACCGCATCATCGTATGAATGATGCGAGAAGAGATTAACAGGTTCTTATGTTAGCGATTTACGTACTCGGCGCTTTCGCTCTCTAAATTATGGCTTGAATGAGAGGGGAGGGGTATGGCTACACTCACACAATTTATATCTTCCTAGGAATCTTATATAGCAAAAGTTATATACATAACTGTTACGCTTTGTGTAATTCAACAACAAAAATGGCGCGGAAGGGGAAATCGGCCGCGGCAGGGTTTGATCGCCACCTGAGTATGTGTTCGTGACCAGATTAAAAAATGTTTTAAATGTTTTGGTCGGAACCCAATTTGGTCGTGGTCAGAAGCGTTCGTGACCACAGGTTCTTCTGTATGTGTATAAAGATACGTAGGCTCGCTGGTCTCGTTATGAAACTGCAATGAAAAAGCACCAGGGGAGGCAGCTATCACATCTGCCTCACTAAAGGGGGCGTGTCAGACACGCCCCCCCTTGGTGAGGCCACGCCCCCGGTGCCCCCCCTCTCACTGACCTCACCGCATGTCACTGGCTCCCATCCATTGGGTTCAGTGTTAATTACCGAGGCTCACAAAGCCAGACTCAGGCTCCCATAGGCTTCAGTGTCAATCACTGAGCCTCACAGGGCCAGACTCAGGCTCCCATAGGCTTCAGTGTTAATCACTGAGGCTCACAGAGCCAGACATATGCTCCCATAGGGTCCAGTGTTAATAACTGAAGCTCACAGAGCCAGAATAAGGCTCCCATAGGGTTCGTGTTAATCACCGAGGCTCACAGAGCCAGACTAAGGCTCCCCCCATAGGCTTCAGTGTGAATCACTGA